TCTTGTTGGAAGGTGAACCTTTGGCCCAGTCTGAGGTCCTGAGCACTCTGGAAGAGGTTTTCTTCCAGGATATCTCTGTACTTGGCCGCATTCATCTTTCCTTCAATTGCAACCAGTCGTCCTGTCCCTGCAGCTGAAAAACATCCCCATAGCCTGATGCTGCCACCACCATGTTTCACTGTTGGGATTGTATTGGGCAGGTGATGAGCAGTGCCTGGTTTTCTCCACACATACCGCTTAGAATTAACGCCAAAAAGTTCAATCTTGGTCTCATCCGACCAGAGAATCTTCTTTCTCATAGTCTGGGAGTCCTTCATGTGTTTTTTGGCAAACTCTATGCGGGCTTTCATATGTCTTGCACTGAGGAGAGGCTTCCGTCGGGCCACTCTGCCATAAAGCCCCGACTGGTGCAGGGCTGCAGTGATAGTTGACTTTGTGGAACTTTCTCCCATCTCCCTACTGCATCTCTGGAGCTCAGCCACAGTGATCTTTGGGTTCTTCTTTACCTCTCTCACCAAGGCTCTTCTCCCACAGTTGCTCAAATTGGCTGGACGGCCAGGTCTAGGAAGAGTTCTGGTCGTCCCAAACTTCTTCCATTTAAGGATTATGGAGGCCACTGTGCTCTTAGGAACCTTGAGTGCTGCAGAAATTCTTTTGTAACCTTGGCCAGATCTGTGCCTTGCCACAATTCTGTCTCTGAGCTCCTTGGGCAGTTCCTTCGACCTCATGATTCTCATTTGCTCTGACATGCACTGTGAGCTGTAAGGTCTTATATAGACAGGTGTGTGCCTTTCCTAATCAAGTCCTATCAGTTTAATTAAACACAGCTAGACTCCAATGAAGGAGCAGGACCATCTCAAGGAGGATCAGAAGAAATGGACAGCATGTGAGTTAAATATGAGTGTCACAGCAAAGGGTCTGAATACTTATGACCATGTGATATTTCAGTTTTTCTTTTTTAATAAATTTGCAAAAATTTCTACATTTCTGTTTTTTTCTGTCAAGATGGGGTGCTGAGTGTACATTAATGAGAAATAAAATGAACTTTTTTGATTTTAGCAAATGGCTGCAATGAAACAAAGAGTGAAAAATTTAAAGGGGTCTGACTACTTTCCGTACCCACTGTATATCATGTCATCGGTTTCCCTTATTTATATGCAAGTACCAGCTTTTAGGTATTAAAAGTTATGTAAAATATTGAAGATTATTATTATTAGTTTATTTTTGCTTGTCTTTGGTAGTAATTATTAGTACTGTTTTGATTGACAACAGAGGGTGTCAGATCGTATTTATCTATAAATGCTTACAGAGCTTAATGATACATGATCTTGAAACTACTTTATGTTAGGCCATGTGTCCCCCGAGCATAACATTTTTTTCTGCAATGAATGGACTTACCTATGTGGCTATCCGTTTGAAGTTATCTTTTTAATGTAAATAAGTCATCAAAGTCAGTCATTCAAAAAAAAGCCATGCATTATATTAATAATACTAACTGATAAAAACATTGTTGTTTCAACATAAAAAACTGTGGTCAGGGTTCTGTGGTCCCTGCTACTAAATACTTTGATTAAAACGTGTAGAGTCAACTTAACTGAACTTAAATGAGTTAGCTAGACATAAGCAGTTTAGTTTAGTTCAGCTAACAGCTGCTAAATTATTTCAACAAGAGCTGCCTGGCTCGATATCCAGTAAAGATTCATAATAAAGCAGTTACAAGCCTCACTGTCTGATCATCACAGTTTTTAATGAACTAATAGTAGCCACTGTTACCATGGTTCTAACCACCCTTGTTTTTAAGAAATATTTAATTGTATTGTGTGGATTGCATTTTTTGATTACTTCATTTTAATCGACAGAAATACCATGTCACTCAATTTAATACAAAGGTATAAAAACTGAACATTCAATACAATGGCTTTGTTATTGTGCTATAGTAAAGGTTATACTAAGAACTGATGGACCTGAAAGACTTGTATTTTGACTTGGATTTAACCAAAAGACTTCCTCTGTTTTAAACACTTAATGTATTGTAAACTATATATGTAAGTAAAGTTAGTATCTTTTTCTTTATATTTTTTGCATATCTTGCACAAACTACAAATCATTTGATCATTCTGTGCAATCTCCTCAAGTGTACTCCTTGTCTCTGTTACATTCTTTTTTGAACGAAGTTGTTTCTTCTTTTACAACCTACCATTTTTCTTGCAGATGTCTATCACAACTTTTTTGCTGCCGAGAGCTTATCTCCCCCCACAGCAATCATTAAAGTTTATATGATCTTATCTTTATCGGTAATGAACGGACAACACAAGCACCCGCAGTGTAAAGGGCACGCTCAGGTAGCAGCTGCACACACGTTACTGCTTCCAGCCCTCTAAATATTTAAAGGTGTTGTAGGCGGCCAGCAATTGGAGCTTACTTCTGAAAATGACATTTCAGGTGACTGTGTTGCTTCTGATTTAATAAGTGGCCGTCATCTATCCCCTAGAACAAAAGATACTGAGCAAAGTGTTCACTAATAACATCATCTCCACACAGTCCATTAGCAAAACTCTGACAAAGCCTGGAGTTGGAATGAAGTATTGACATTTGTGTAGATGCAGAGGACAATGTATACTGTAAATTCACATAATTGTTCTCTTTATACTGATGTTCAGCTCAATTGCACAGAAATTAGATATTTCATACTGCAAACATTGTGCTTCTACTAATATGCAAATCTATCACCTACCAAACATTTGGTTCAAAGGAAGATATTGTAGCTCAACAATGACTGGACCGATTGCCACAAAACTGGCTGTAGACATTAAAATGGCTAGATGAGACTGCAGAGGCAAGTAAACATAATCTATTGATCACATGCAGTTTGTGTGTTATCACTGCCCCTAACATTTGCCTAAACTGCCATTGCCTAACAGCTGGTGTTGGTACACTCGCACTAAGAAGATATTAACCAAGCTCCGAAGAACAGCTGTAGACTGTGAAGCAAAGTGGCCACATTCATGCCACCAAATTAGCTTTTGTTCTTGAACCTGTTCCGTTCATGATTCCTGGAATCTTGTTGTTATCTAGCAAACCAGCCTGCATTTCCACCAGTTTTGAGTGGAACAATTGTAATCAGCATGCATTATCAACTTCTTTGCACCTTATCTACCTATTTATCTTTTTTATCTTTTCTACCTAAGTATTTTATTCTATTGTTGTATTTTATTCTATTGTATTTTATTGTTTTTAAATGTAACTGGCTGCTATGATGACCCAATTTCCCATCGGGGGTTAATAAAGTCTATCTGGTGTGTTCTGTCTATTATCATCTTTATCTATCTATCTATCTATCTATCTATCTATCTATCTATCTATCTATCTATCTATCTATCTATCTATCTATCTATCTATCTATCTATCTATCTATCTATCTATCTATCTATCTAAACTGCTATTTTTTGGCTCCAGTGGGGAACCAACTTTTCAGATTCCAAACAACTTTAGTTTTGGTTAAAATGTTCCGAACGGTTCAAAACTAGGTGCCTGTTGGTGGATCATTTGACACACTAAAAAGATCTTTTCCCATACTCAATAAATTAGGGATGCACCGATACCGATACTGGTATCGGGCCGATACTAGTCTTATATACTCGTACTCGTTAAAGTTAATCGATACCATGAACCGATACCAATTTATTACATGCAATTGCTTTGCATGAAGACCGCGATCAGAGGGTGGCTTGTCATCATTGGCGGCTAGGAGAGAGGTCCCCACACAGCAAAAGGACTCCGTGGCGAGGTATGGCGGCTTCCGGAACGGACCCGCGAAACGGACCCGTATCGGTGTCCACTTGCTCTCAGTGACGGATCCGCTACGAAGGCGGATTGCGGACCCGGCGTGGCTCCGTGCTGCATCCACTATTAAAACCTTAACTCCGGGTCCGCATGAATTTCCTAAACGGACCCGCCGCGGACCAGCAATGGACTCATAAAAATCCTGGCTCAATCTGGCCCGAGTCCGTTTTGGACCCGTTTATCTCATTTTCAAAATCCCTTCTGGTCTTGCTGTAGGATAAAATAGGATAAACTAAACTATAGGATAAAACTAAAACTATCACTAGGCCTAAGCTTAAATCTGCATTGCCTTGTATTTTTAACCTAACAATTTTGTCAGAAAAGGTTGAAGTCAAGACATCAATATAGCCTACTGTACAAAAGTAATCACTACTCAATGGAAATATAAAATTGACATTTACATTTAAGGAAAGTTATAGGTTATAGCCTATTCTGTTTCTTGTTAGGTTACTCTACATTCATTTTGTGGTCAAAACCTAATGTAGTGCATTTTTTTTTTGTGGTAGAAGTATCGGCATCGGTACTCTGTATCGGCAAGTACTCAGATCCAAGTATCGGTATCGTATCGGTTTGAAAAAAAGTGGTATCGTTGCATCCCTACAATAAATACAAAAGGAACTGCTTGGAGAACCACATCAGTAAATTATTTCAAGCCATTCAGCTGTGCAGGAAGTCAGTCAACCCTGGAGGAAGTTTCTAGGACTCTAGTGTGCATGCTCTATGAACCCAAAACTGTCGAAGCTCGGAGCATGTTTGGAGCAAATTTCATAAGAATGAATGGGGATCCATCTTGGAACACAGTATCCTTATATTTGATTTTGCTGACCCGATGGCCCTTCCTCTTGAGCCTCATATTGTGTTTCATATCATGGCATGTGATGAACATTGCTGCCTTTAGGGGCCAATTGTGGGCTTTATCTGGTTCATACTGGTAAATTAAACCAAAATTCTCCTCTTTCCTTTGTTGTTTCAGACTTATTTATTTTAATTTAACCAGTTATTTCTTGTCCTCCATCTTTTCATTTAGCCAATAAACTCTCATACCTGCTGCCTTCCTGACATTGGACATTTCACTACTTTCTACTTTTACTCCCTTCCCCTGTCATCCTCTCTTGTCAATGTTAACGCTCCCAACTCTTGTCCTCTTCTCTCCTCAGCTGCCATCGAGGCCTGCCTGGGTCACCTGCTGAAGAGACGGGCAGCCGGCTTTCTCCGCAGCGACAAGATCGCCGCCCTCTTCACCAAAGTCGGCAAAGTCTACGACACAGCCGGCGAGGTCTGCCGCAAAGTGCAAGAGCAACTCCAGCAGCAGGCTGATCTCACCAGGTTGGTCACCTCTCCCTTTGTTTTCACTTCCTACTGAACTGATTTCATACAAAACTTCACCTATGCAACATTGAGCGAGTACTCATTAAATGCCATTTAAGAGACAGTTTTGATTTCACATTTAAGTTTCAATTCATAATTTCCTGATTGGAGAGGGAACATACCTGACACCACAATCAGAATTTAATTTGTGCAAATTGAGTGAATCTGCCGTCGTAATGAGAGGGGAAGAGACACTCTTCTCCATTACAGCCCACTTTGTGATAGAGGATAATAAGAATCCTAGTGTAGCTTTAATTATGCACTGGAACATCAACTAATTAACATCAGCTACAATAAATTTACTATCAGAGGCAGTTTTTTAACAGGGTGGACACAATAACAGGAACACCCTGTAATACATCTCTGAAAAGGTTAGATTCACATTTTTTTTTCAGATTTTTGAAAGGGCTCGTTCTATAGTGTTGCAAGTCTTTGAGAGATAGAACCTGACATGATCACCCAACTCTCTAGGCAGAGTTTTCCAGCACACATTTTCTGTGCTGTTCCTCAACATTGAACATTTCAACATGCAATAAACTTTTCAGTATGGATAGATAGGAAATAATTGGCTTAATTCAATTTTAAATCAAATTTTTGAGAATTTCAAGGGTTGAATCTGCCTCTACAGTTACATTTATTTTCTGCCATTTGTAGTATGTACATAGACAGATTTATTTCAACATTGTCAGCTGTCATTCCTTGTACACCAGGTCATTATGTCCATGTAAAACACACAGCTACAGACACACTCCATCACCAGCGGACACAATCCCTGGTCAGTTGAGTGTTTACTAAAGCTCAGCAATCTGTGTACACACTGTGATAAGCCTCAGGCCCGTTTCTATGTGTGTGTGTGTGTGTGTGTGTGTGTGTGTGTGTGTGTGTGTGTGTGTGTGTGTGTGTGTGCGCAAAGGGGGGTCAGTATGTATACTTGCGTACGTGTGCTTGCTCATATGTATTTCTGCGTGTATGTGTGTACACACAGAGTATGATAAACTGCTTTATCTGCAGGCACTTAGGTACTAGCTGAGCTGTTTGCAAGCCCATTAATTGTCCATTAGCTTGAGCCACATGGCTACCACATGTCTCTCCCAGGCTACAGGGACAGTTTTTTCCAAATGGAGGAGAGAGCGCTTTGGGCAACAAGCGCACACACACACACACACACACACACACACACACACACCTCCATGTATGCATAAATGATGCACAAACAATAAAACACAGACAGAATGTGTAGCGAGACATCACTGCAACATGGCTGCATTATGTGATGTAAATCAGTGTGGAGTTAAATGTGTTTGGGTATGCTGGGCGCTCAGCTCTCCGTCTACATATCAGCCGCCGTCTCTCGTTCATCTGTCATATCCCATTGGCCTTTATTTCCCCAGACAGACTGCACACAACAATAAAGCCTATTATTGTACATGAATCTGGTTTGCACAAGTCCAACCCCTCCACCAGAATGCATACATGCATTAATGCACACTCACACAGGCATGTTCCCACCCCCACCCCCCTTCTCCCTGTCATCCCACCTCAGGGCTCCATTTCTCATGTACCCCGGTTACCATGACAATGTGGTTTGCGCCACTGCCAGCAAAAGAGGCAGAGAGCATGATGGGAAACAAGAGACAGGGAGAGAGAATATGAGCAGACATCAACAGTGGAATAAAGAGTTATTACAGCAGAGCAGGGCTGGATTGTCTGGATCTCTCTCTGTGTGTGTGTGTGTGTGTGTGTGTGTGTGTGTGTGTGTGTGTGTGTGTGTGTGTGTGTGTGTGTGTGTGTGTGTGTGTGTGTGTGTGTGGTGAAGAGGTTGTGTTTTAGCCTGTGTTTGCCAAAGGCTGCCAGTGGACACCCTGCCGTGGCTCCTTGTCTCTCTGTGATGTATTCCTTAATAACCTTCCGTCTCAAACTCCTTTTTTAATCTTACTAAAAGAGATATTGAGAAAGTGATAAATTAGCAACACACCGCCCTCTTTCACTCTCTCCATCCCTCTCCTTCTCTTCCTGACACACAGGGGTAAAGAGCAAAACTAGCATATCATATGCATCCATTTCCTATCCTGCAGTGCTTACAGCAGACCTGCTGTAGCAACGGCTCTCATACACATTAAAGGATAATTCCACTTTATAACAACTGCGGTCTTATTTTCATAGTTACGTATTCTGTAAAGTAAAAGTTAGGATCTCTGATCTGGCGACATTGTGTAAGCAGTCCAGTGGGGCAAGAAACATGAGGGTAAATTGATCACCCAAACAAGAATTTTTAGTTTTTATTTAAGCTTTATTTTACTGGGAATATTCCCACTGAGATTTAAAATTTCTTTTACAAGGGAGTCCTGGCCAAGAAACCAGCATGACGTTTCAGATGAAAGAAAAAATGTTAAACTTAAAACAGTAAAACATTAAAGGTCCAGTGTGGGAGTTCGCCATGTTGAACCGCCCTGTTTCTCTAGTATCTCTTAACGGACTAACCACACACTGTCTCTAAATATCAGAAATGCTTCCAGTGCTGCCTAATATTCGGGATCAGTGCACAGACTGGCAGACTGACTACGTGACAGTAGATGAGCTAGCACTACTTCTAGCAAGCTAATCTGCGAGCATGTTTATTACTGACTAGTATTTGCTGTGTCAGGTACTATTAGACTACTGTGTGTTTCATGTTATATAAATGTTAGAATGGATACATTTCAGTAGGAATTGAACAGAAAATGACAGTTGGGCTGAAACGATCAGTCGATCGACTCAACCTAATTGATTGCAAATGTCAGTGGGTCCCTCCATGTGAACAGATGTAACGCATCGTCAGGCCTTGCACAAGAACTGAAATCCACATCATGCAAATCCAGAGCCTAATAAATCACCCTGACATATTTCTTTTCACATTCATATCCATTTGTCAGCTCAAAATGTAATCACTGTAATCAATGCAGTTAGCTACATGTTGACATTTGTTGACATTTTGAAAAGACCGATGACAGAGCGCAGCGCGGAGGAGGACAGACGGCACACTGGAGGAAGGGATGTTTCCATAGAGGAGATCTACACATTTGATCAAACCTTCGATAATTACAAAGAGATTATACACTTATGTGAACAGATGCTTAGAGGCAATACACAGAATGAATTATTTCCTTCAGTGTGCACAATAATGTAATGTTATATTCACATTTGTTTTATAAAACTTCAAAGATCAATCCAGAATCAAAATACTCCTCAAAGTAGCCAAGACTGACCATAAAGGTTGTTTCTTTATTAAACCTTTTGGTTTTTATCTCCAAGCATTTTCATTTTTTATATTAATGTATTCATTGTGCCAATTCAGCTAATAGCAGCAGCGATGCCCTTTTTGGCGTGTAACTGCAGGCATCAATTTTATAAACTTGAGATTATCAGTCCTGTGTATATAGCAAGCATTAGCTCAGAACCTAGCTTCTATAAATGATCCTTAGAATCTCTGTCAAAGTACGTTATCCATCATCTCCGTAATAAAGAGAGAATGGAGAGAAACTGCCTTGCACAAATACTTCTTTGCCCTAATACAGTATACATACTATAAAGTCTAGAAAGAAGAAAATGTGTAAAAAATAGTGTGTGTGCTTAGGGTTTGCCCAAGCCAAGTACTGCTAAGCCACAAAAGAAGCAAACAGGTACAGGAAGGAAAAGGTCTCCTTGTGACCAATGCAATTACAGTAAAGTCAATGTGGAAAAACGGGGCCCCTCGTGTGGGCCTGTGGGTATGTTATGTACTGTATGCAAGCAGCTCACCCAAGACAGTTCTATTACTTATTGACCTTTTTCTCAGAGCGGTGGCACCAACATTGCATCATATGTGTGTTTGTATAGTGAGGAATAAATGCTATATTCTAAAGAAGACAAAGAGTCTAAAGGTGCTTGCTTCTGTACACCCCACAATTTAACCTCTTCATTCCCAGACCAAAAGTTATATTTTTGAGATTCCATTGATGTCTGTGTCCATTCATTTGATTATTGTTTTTCAGACTGGATGAAATAATTGAATAAAACTGTGATGCACAGACCCATTTATCTGTTCTCTTATTAGCTTCAAAAATAGATGTATCGAACCTGTACTCTCTCCAGATAACCAGGACTATCTGATATTGAAGAAACATGTGTGGGAGCATGTGTTTAGCCTGTGCCGTAGCAATCTGCCTGCCTGTGAGATAATGAGACATCTTGTTTGCACAGTTGACTTTTGACGTGGTGAAGGCATAATGGTCCAGATCAGGAGGTCACCAGACCAACACACAGACTGATCGTATCATCCTTTGGCCCTGTTGGTGGTGTGGAAAAGACGATGTTTAGAAATGAATTACAGTCCAAGTAACAAAAAAAGCAACTTATAGCTCAAGTTATTAAGTATATAGGAGGAGATGCTCATGTTTCATGTCAGAACTACATAACAACACACTGCAGGTTTTATTGAGACAAGGAAGATCCAGTCTCTTCTTCTGTCTTATGTCTGACATCATCCTGATGCTCCCCCATCCCCTGGAGTACTGTCACTGCGTGCGCACACACACACACACACACACACACACACACACACACACACACACACACACACACACACACATACTCTCACTTACACAAAATGGTAGGGGACTGCAAAAATCGTGACTTAGCTGAAACCCCCTTTCACACAAACATGCTAACATCGTGACTGTGGCAGCCGAACCCCCCTCAGCACGGACATGCAAACACACACTCATTAGCTTGTCGAAGTGGGTGTGTTTGAGGGGTTTTGTCTGATTTTTCTGTAGAAGTGCCAGAGATCAAACTCAGTCTGGGATGAAAGTGCTCCTCGTTGTGCGAAATGCTTGAGCCAGCTGATTACTAACATAAAATGGCACCTTTTATCTAACATGGTACAGATTGATTGGAAACAAACCAGTGATCAGCTATTAGAAATAATGATGAGTTGAAATGTAACAACTCATTATGCTGTTAAACGCTGCCTCCCGATGGTCAAAGACACCATTTCTTTTCATTTATTCATTTTTTTAAAAGTATTTTTTGGGGCTTTTATTGCCTTTATGATAAAGACAGCTTAAGACATACAGGAAAGGGGGGCAGAGAGAGAGGGGATGACACACAGCAAAGGGCCGCAGGTCGGATTTGAACCCTGGCCGCTGCAGCAAGGACTCAGCCTTGATACATGGGTTGCCAGCTCTACCCACTGAGCTAACCGGGCGCCCTTTTGTCATTTATTAACCTTCACATTTCTTACTATTATGAGCAAATTTTATTTCCTTTAACATTTTCTCACTTCTTCATTACACACAAAGAACTTACAGCTCCTGTTGGAGCTACATTGTTCCATCATTGGCACAAATTCAATATGTGAAACTGTTAGATCTTTGAAAGGATGTTTGTGGTGCTAAACCAAAGTTATTTAAGTTCTGGTGTTGAATACCCAAAGGCAAAAAGGTAGCAAACACAGATTTTTAGAACAAAGTTGACTAATCACAATTTATACTGGCCATGTCAAACAAACATGCTAACGTTTCAGCCTTGTGGCCTTCATCAGAAATGTGAAACTGCTCCCAGGGGATTTAAGGGTGACTTACCTCACAAACATGGTGCATGCTGGAAAGTAAATGTTGAATGGACCTGTACTTGTATGACACTCAAAGTGCTTTTCCACTACATGCCACATTCGCCCCTTTCACACACATTCACTCAGTCCATTGATGGAACCTAACTCATTCATGCACATCAGGAGCAATTTGGGGTTCAGTATCATGCTCAAGGATAGTAACTATCTAATAGCCAATTAGTGGACGACCCGCTCTGTCTCTGAGCCACAGCACAGCCACACTGCTAATATACTGGTCATGGTAATTTTTATTTTTTATTTTAATTAAACTTGATTCTAAAGTAACATGACCTTAATAAGTAGATTGAACTCTGTATTGTCAACTCAGAAATCAGTCAGCTATACATTTTGAGATTAATTAACTTTAACAAAAAAAATGAAACTTGTATGTTTATGTTAATTTAATAAGAAAAGGTTAGTAAGTAAAGCTTTATTTATATAGCACTTTTATAACACAGAGTTACAAAGTGCTTTACAAAAAACAAAAATAAAAAACACAAACATACATATGGGTCTATATATATATATATAAACATACCCAATCAAACAAACATAAGGAGCATGTAAATACAAACATAAGGAAGATAAAACAAGAGGGAAGGATGAATTTAAAGAGAGACAACAGATGAGGAAACAAACAAGGAGATCTATAAAAGGTTTGCCTGTAGAGGAGGGTTTTGAGCAGCCGCTTAAAACAGTCCACAGATTCAGTGAATCTAAGTGATTGGAGAAGACTATTCCACAATGTTGGCGCTAAAACAGCGAAGGCGCAGTCACCTTTAGATTTACAGTTAGAGCGTGGAATGGATAAAAGGCCGAGATTTGAGGAACGGAGTGGCCGAGGAGCGGAATGAAGAACAAGGAGATCTGAAATGTAACTGGGGGCAAGGTCATGAAGTACATCATATGTAATCAGTAAGATCTTATAATTGATTCTGAATTTTACAGGAAGCCAATGAAGGGATGCGAGAACAGGAGTAATGTGGGGCTGGCGACTGGTTCTGGTTAAAAGTCTGGCGGCTGCATTTTGTACTAACTGTAAACGATTTAACGAAGCTTGACTGAGGCAGGTGTAGAGGGAGTTACAGTAATCTAGACAGGACAAAATGAAGCTGTGAATTAATTGTTCAAGATCATTGGAGGACAAGAAGCTTCAGATTTTTGCAAAATTAGCTGCAGGAAACAGGACTGGACAAGTTTTGTAACATGAAGGTCAAATGTCATACACTGGTCGAAGATGATACCCAGATTCTTAGCAGTGGGTTTGATATTAGTGCGTAATGGTCCAATAAACTGATCAACTGCAGTGACAAAGTTTTCAGGGCCAAATAAAATTTGGACAGTTGATTCAGGTTATTGAGTTTCTCAGAGAAGTAGATCTGTGTATCATCGGCAGTAGATTCTACTAAACTCCTATATATGTTAAAAAACAAATATCTGGGGTGACCAAGGGTTTTATAATGCTGACCATCTTAACATGTACATGTATTATTTCCTGTCAACTCTCTACTGTGTGTTGTCTAATAAATAACAGTTCATATACTATTGTGTTTATTGTTAAATATTCATATCAGTGTCAGACTCAAAAGTCCTGTGTTAGATACAAACATGAACTCTTCGCTGTAGTAGCGGTTGCTAACCGTCTTCTGCTTGTGCCCTGCAGGAGAACCCAAAGCGTGGGCCATGAACCCTTGAGGAGACAGGGATCCTCCACCACCAGCCGCCCCCCTCAGCCTCTTTCTGCCCAGGCCATCAAACACATCTGGGTCCGAACAGCTCTGTTTGAGAAAGTTCTGGACAAGATAGTGCAGTACATTGTGGACAACTCCAGGTGATGCGTTTTATTCTCTGCTCCGTGTCGTTGCACAGCAGTGACTCACAGCACTCCACTGCAGGCTTTGTTGTAGCTGAATGATGAACAGTCCCTTGAATTACCTATTTAGTGCTCCCTTCTCCTCCTGTGTTCGCTCTGTGGTTGCTTTGTTCTGTGCTCTGTCTGGCTAACAACCACTGTGTGCTTCAACAAGCTGTCCGCACTCGGTGTGTCAGTGAAATTATGCACTACCACTTCACTGATCAAAGCCTCAAACATGAAGTGGACTAACAGGATTCACAGACATATGACAATGTGAATCACACTTATTGAATGGAGAAAAATCCACCTTAAAACTTGAGTAGCATTGTGTGATGTTACTGTTCCTGTTAATAACATAGATAATATAGAAAATGTAACATCATGTACAGACGACTGCAGTGTAGTTAATCTAATCTGACCCAGGCATCTGTGGTAAATGTCACCAGTCACACAGTAGGAAATCTATCACAGATACCGCAACCTCAACATAATTTGACTGTGCCCGATGGTTTGGTACACAGAACCACCTTGTAAGTCTCCATTTGAAGCTGTGTTGAAAGGGCAGACACTTTCAAAAAAATACTTTGCAATGAATTGGATGATCAACAGATTATATAATGTAGTCAAACTCTTACTGAAGCCAGTTGGGAGAAGAGCGAAAACTTTTTTTCCATCGGGAAAAGCCTTCAGTGCCGTTCTTTGCTCTTCTTTTAATGAAGACATACTCTCCAGATCTGATAGAACTGATGCTAGCATCTACGCCTCTAATTCTATGCCATAGCTTCAGCAGTTCCTTGAAGGACGCTGATTGGTCCGAACCACTGTGATTTTTGAAAGTAGCGCATAGTTAAAGCCAGGCAAGATGTATTCTCGCGTGATTTCATGGCTCTGTTTGGTTGTTTTCGTTCAGGCTCAGTGGATTCTTGCAAATGCCAAGAGAGCACTAGGAGGAGCAAGAGGAACCAGATTTTTCAGATTATGTGTCTCATTCACTACTGTCAAGATATCATTATGTTTCAGAATATATGACAAAAAGTTATTTTTGTACCTACTGCAGCTTTAATCGTGCAAATCTGTGAGTCAGTCAAGCTGATGATAGTCATTATTTAGGCTGTTAGTGTGGTAAAAATAGCTTCTTCTGTTTGAAATCTAAATTTGCTCAATGAATTACAACGTTGATCTACACATTCAAAAGTTAACCCGAAATTCATAATAATTGGAGTGTGTGCACATGACAATACTTAGTCTACCACATATAGCCCAGGAGGACTCCACATTAGACAACAGATTTAATAAGGTTTTCCTTTGAATCATGTATTTCTGTGTGTTTATCTCTGCAGTAAATACTATGAGAGGGAAGCTCTGATGCATGACTCAGTCTTCGGGCCCATCTTGGCAGCACTGCTGGGTGAGTATATTACACTGTGCTTTAACTGCCAAAAATTACCAGAGAGGAGTAACAAAAAGTACCAAACTACAGGACAAATGTCCCTATATTCATGTAAAATCAATTCTTCGGTAAACAAAGCAGAAAGTTGTTCTGGGAATTGCGACCATAAAAATGTCCACAAATTCAACCACTCTCAGAACTGTGTTGTACAATTTAGAGCCACCTCCACAGACAGTGTGGCAGCAGGAGACTGAAGGCAGAGAGCCCAGACACAAAGTTTAATAAGCAGAAAAACAGGCAGGAGCACAAAACAAACAGCTCAGCAGACTAAACCAGAGGAGACGAGCTGAACAGTGTGACAGCTGGCTGAAGCACTCTATCCACACTGACTAACTAGGTAACGTTGTGCAGATGAGGCAGATAGCGGCTGTAAGGGGGGCTGATGAAGAAATCAGCATTATGTGTTTGGAACAGCACCACACTGAGGACACCTGGTGGACAACTGAGGAACCGTTGGGACAGAAACATGTATTACTGTGTCCAAAAGTTATATATAACTACTAACACTATTTTGTACTGGCTGTGGCTCAGAGGTAAAGCAGGTCATCCACTAATCAGAAGGTTGGCGGTTTGATCTCCGGCTCCTCCCGTTGCATGTCGAAGTGTCCTTAAGCAAGATACTGAACCCCAAATTTCTATGAATGTGGATGAATGAGTTAAATGAATTTTAATCTGCATGCTGCTATTTTTAATTTTAGCTTACTTCATGTACTCAAAACTACTTAAAGGTCCAGTGTGTAGGATTTAGTAGCATCTTGAGGTGAGATTGCAGCCAACTGAAACCCCTTGACTCAACCAAGCATGTAGGAGAACCTGTGGTTGCTGCGAAACTTTCAAAAAATTTTAAATTCTCTATCTAGAGACAGTGGACTTCGAGAAGAGTAGCCACTCCCTCTGTAAATAAACACAGGTCATTCTAAGGTAATCTTATATTCAGGTGATAATCCACTAATGAAAATATACCTATGAATATTAGATTCCATTTCTGACAATAGATCCTCCTTAATGTTACACACTGAATTTATAAATTGAGGAATTACACTGATATTTTTTATTTTATTTACTGTCTGTGCTGTGTTCTCAGTGGGGCCCTGTGCTCTGGAGTACACCAAACTGAAGACGTCGGATCATTTCTGGACAGACCCCTCAGCCAACGAGTTGGTACAGCGCCACCGTATCCATGGGGCCCACCGGGGCCAAGACACCTCAGCCGGCCGCCGGCCTGCTCTGGGGGTGAGTGTGGAGGCTGCCTCAGTCCTTAGGAGATACTGGTGGACGGTGGTGGGTAGGAGTGCTCACTGACAATGTGTGGGATGGGAGTTGTTGTAAAAGTAAGCGGTTGTGTAAGACAGCTGTTCAGGATCTTTTCTGTTTTTAGATCCGCAAGAGGCAGTCCAGTGGCAGCATGTCAGAAGACAGGTTTGCTGCATCAGCTAGGGAGTATGTGGAATCTCTTCACCAAAACTCCAGAACACACCTTCTCTACGGCAAAAACAACGTCCTGGTGCAACCGGTATGACTGCACATTCTCACTTTGTGACCAGTCTTTCTGAACAATACCTGAACAATGGGTTTCAAGTTGGATTTCCTCCATAATCCTACGGAACCAGTGTTGTTTTAGTTTCCGATCTAAATTTGTCCCTTATGCAAAATATGTTTATTTAGGAGCGTTGCATAAAGCATCTTAGGTTGTCCTTTTACCTGAGTGTTTAGACAAAGGCGTACAAGTTGTGCATCACTTATAGTGTCCAGTGGGCTTCAGTCACCATCATTTCAGTCACTGACTGTCTCTTACACACATTATTTCACTTTAAGGACTGCTATGGATCCCTTTAAGTTTTCTGAGAAAATGGTTCCTAAGGACCTTTTAGCAATGCATAAGGGAATACCTAAGTACCTACAGACAAACACCAGATCAAAGGGTTCTGTAATTCGGTTTAACCAACACTTAAATGCATGTTAATGAGGATACTCAAGGGAAAATATTGGACAAGAGACTATGAAAGCTAAACTCCTAACTTAACATTGTAGTTGTTATTGAGCCAGTCTGTTTAGTCTGTTTCTTAAAGCAGACATTTACATATCAGATGATAGCTATCTGTCAAATGATCATATAAAATATGTACTGTGGCACAGATTACACTGATCTGTAAGTTGATCTGAAGTGAACATTGTGCTAAATGTACACTTTAGATTAATCAGACATAATATCAGTGTTACAGCTACACTGTGTGCCTCTAGCTCCTAGCTCTCAGTATTGACTTCATGTCAATCCTTGGCATAAATGTTTTGATAGAAACTTTATTCAGATATGACAGGTCTTTGTGGTGCTGTGGAGGCCCTGAGGCTACTGTTGCTCTGGGATAAAGGCAGAAATCCAACTGGGAAGCCTACATACATGCAGTACACACAGACAGCACTTTGCACCCACTCAGCTTGTGTACAGATAAATTGCAAATGATGGTTATTTTCATCTATTATTGTGCTACACACACATAGACACACAGTGTTTTGTATGTGTGATCTTTGAAATGAAAGCTGTCTTTCTCCTGCCTGTAATGTGCTCTGCGCTGCCAAGTAACTCCAGCATGTTTGGCCCTGGGAATGCATAATGAGCACATATTTGCCTCCCACATCGCTCAGCCTTTGACAGAGCTAACACACATGGCTGAGTGCACATACACATGAATCCAGCACTCACTGCACAGCACGCATGTTAAATAGTACAGTATATGCTTCTTATTCTGCTTCCTAATTTATAACATAGTTTTTGTCTATATACAGAGTAATAATAAAATTAAAGCTGCAAGCAGCGATGGACGGGACCTCGCACTCCACGCAACTCGGGGCGTGCTGCGGCCGCGTCACGTGCCGTCGTAACACGTGCGGACGACGACATGAAAATCTCACGTAAATCAGCTCAAAATCGCCACGCAGCACTTACTTCCTGTTGCCACTAGGTGGCGCTATCACTATGCGTTCAGGGCGGGACTCTTATCAGACATGTGAAGTTTGGAGCCGATTGGACAATGTACACTCAAGTTATAGCAACTTTGTGTGTTCTGGCGGTACATCAAAGTTTGATGCCACACCACGGACACGCCCTGTAACAAAAACTCACCACAATCAAGAAATATCATCAAGAACATGTTTTCCATTTTCTGACTAGATTTCAGCTTGATCTGACCATCCTACTAGGAGTAGAACATGGAAGTATAAAAAAATGACATTTCCTTTCACCACTAGGTGGCGCTCTCACTTTTACTGAATATTATCACATGGACGTGTTCAGGGCGGGACTCTTATCAGACATGTGACGTTTGGAGCCGATTGGACAATGTACACTCAAGTTATAGCAAATTCGTGTTTTGTGGCGGTACATAAAAATTTCCCACCACGCTACAGACACGCCCCCTCACCGCAGTCATCACATATAATCAGCAATGTGTTTTGCATTTTATAAGTAAATTTCAGCTGGGTCTGATCATCCTGCTAGGAGTAGAACATGAAAGTATAAAACGTGATACTTCCTGTTGCCACTAGGTGGCGCTCTGACTATTACCGAATATTATCACATAGACATGTTCAGGGCGGGACTCTTATCGAACCTGTGAAGTTTCGTTGCAGTCGGATCATGTACGCAGAAGTTATGACGAATCCCTCTTTCATGGCGAAGGTTAGAAATTGGATGCCACGGGACGCCACGCCACGGGCAAAATGTTGGACGAAAAAAACTGACAGCACTGACCAATTCTGAAGTAGATCCAATAGAACCTGTAGGAGGAGTTAGTTAAAATAGAAACCCTGAAATGCCAAAAATGTCATCACAGTGTGACATTCGTTCAAAATGGCCAACTTTGACGGCACGCCACGGACGCGCCCTTCAACGTGCAGTGAAAAAATTAACAGCGTTCATTCAGCACCATTTTGTGACTGTACTGACCAATTTTGAAGCAGATCCCAGAAATTCCCTAGGACGAGTTCGTTCAAATGCAAGGCGAAAATTCACCGAAAATGACCACGGACTTAAAAATGGCCAACTTTGACGGCACGCCACGGACACGCCCTTCAACGTACAGTTACAAATTGAACAGCGTTCATTCAGCACCATGTTTTGACTGTACTGACCAATTTTGAAGCAGATCCGATAAATTCCCTAGGAGGAGTTCGTTCAAATACAAGATCACAGACTTCAAAATGGCCAAATTTGACGGCACGCCACGGACACGCCCTTCAGCGTACAGTTACAAAATGAACAGCGTTCATTCAGCACCATGTTTTGACTGTACTGAAGCAGATCCAATAAATTCCCTAGGAGGAGTTCGTTCAAATACAAGCCCAAAAAGTCAAAATGACCACAAAATGATGAAGATTAAAAATTGAAATATCAGACTTCCTGTGGGTTTTGGAGCATGGGTCCAAGAGGCTTTTCTGCTTCTTTTATCATGATACACATGTGTAGCAATTTTCGTACATGTGGGCCTTACGTGTCCTGGGGGCTGATTCTGGGGGGCGTGGCTTAGACGTTTGGCAGTGTCATATCGGTATTTTTGCTATGTTTGAATTTTGTGCAAATTTTCATGCCATTTTGAGGATGTTGAGGGGGCCAAATATGCGGTCGAAGTCCCAGAGGTATAATAATAATTCCTAGAGGAACAATAGGGTCCTTGCACTTGTTAGTGCTCGGTCCCTAATAAAGCAATACAAATACATATACAGTATTTAACTGCATCTGTATGAATAGGATAGTCCTATATAAGATCATAGTAGACTACAAACCCACTTATAACCTGATTTCAAGGTTTTTTGCTTGTTCTGCCATGGAGACTTTGTCCATTTACCATTGTCACTTAAATCTGATCAAATATTCCTTATGAAGCAGATGAGCTGAGTTTTTGAGTGTCACTTTGATCACCTGACCTTGCCAGATGGTTTGTTACAAAGCACCATATGGAAAATAGTCACTGGAATCAGTTTGGAAAAGGGCAGGCACTTTCAAAAAATACTTGGCAGGTGATTGGATGAACTGATTTATTACTGAACCATACAATATAGTCAAACTCTTAACAATGCCAGTCGAGAGAAGAGCAAAAACATCTTATCCATCGAGAGAAGCCTTGAGTGTCATTCTTTGCTCTTCTTTAACTGAAGAAATACTACATAGTTGGCGCTACCATAATCTCTTCAGCAGCCGCCATTGTTATTTGCGACTTTTCAACTTTGAATGCTGTTTCAAAATTTTGGGAAATATGCTTATTCAGTAGCTTCTGGGAGTTGGTGGAAAGACTGAAATCAATCTAATTTCTGTGCGTTAAGAACGATGCTGGAGTCCAGAGGCAATTAGCCACTAACCACTGGTGGTGTTGACACTTTCAAAATCTCATATCATGTCCTTCCTTCTTCCTTTTCTCATGATAGAAGAAGGACATGGAGGTGTTGCGGGGCTACTTGTCCCTCCATCAGGCTGGGGATAACCTCACCCTGAAGTGGACACCCAACCAGCTTATCAATGGCACGCTGGGAGACTGTGACCTGGAGAAGAGGTATCCACAAAACCCAGCCAACACACCTGCTGTACAATTTTAGATGATATATACTTGATGTGACCACTCCTTGTGAAAAATGTGCATTTAATGACGCTAATGATGATTTGAAATGCAACAAGCTCTATTTTGCATTTGAATTTCTTTACTAATCCAAAACCTTTCCCTCTCTGTTAGTATCTACTGGGACTATGCATTGACTGTCCCTCTGCGCCAGATAGTCTGTATCCACTGTCACCAACGCCGTAAGTAAACTGCTACTTTCCCACAATATGTCCTCATATCACACTGCACCCAGCACCTATATACAATATATATAAGGGTGTCATGTCATATCAAAATATTGATTGTTTGTGTTGATAAAGTGTAAATGTGCAGAACATATCACTGTTTTCATGCTAGAGCCCATCATGTATCTTGGTGACCGCTTCTTCAACTTTATATTGCCTCTCTGCGTCTGTGCGCATGTACACCACAGTTTATATGTCTATATCTCAAAAGAAAAAGAAAAACATGGCTTAAATTAATCAAAAGATGTATTACATGTTTCAGTCTGTCCTATTTTTCTTCTCCCCACTCATCCTTGCATATAATATTTCTTTCCCTATATTCCAGCTGACTGTGGTGGTACCCTGGTTCTGGTCAGTCAGGATGGGATCCAGCGGCCGCCCCTCCACTTCCCCCCTGGTGGTCACCTCCTGGCCTTTCTCTCCTGTCTGGAAACAGGGCTTTTACCACGGGGTCAGCTGGAGCCCCCCCTCTGGTCCCAGAAAGGCAAGGTGTGTCACATCATTAGCACTGTTTTCAATCTTAAAGCCTCTACACTTATTTGAAGGCCTGGCCAGTGTTGATACTGCAGGTAAGAAAATACACAAAGGAGTGAGTGCACATATCAAACTGTCAGAATTAGCAACCTTTCACACAAATGAAATCACTCCTGTCTTTAAATTAAATCACGTTTGGGAAGTGGTTTCACTTCCCAGACACTTGGTACAGATAAACGGTATGACCTGGATACTTGTAGACAACATGGAGACTGCACTAAAAATGTAAATACCCATTACTAAATTACAAAAGGGGGTTTGTAACATAAAGGACTGCGTTCACTTCCCTAATGGTGAAGCCATTTTGACATAAATTAAATTTTGGCATCAGTATTCATGAAACCTTCCCCACACACAGTGCCTAAATTTCCTGAGGACCGGACCTGACTCAATGTCTACAGTCCTATTTTTCTGGGGGATTCAATGATGTTTGCTGTGATAGATACAATTTGGCTTTATATTTATTATATAATAAAAAGCACATTGTCTGGATCTCCTGGGCTGATGTTAACAGTTCCAGTTATCATTCAGTCAAGATTGTGGCTTCATTTCTTTGTATTTGCAAATTGCCCTGTTGCACTCATATTTTCTAACTTGAAGAAGGGATGGAATGGAAGGATGAAATGAAAATGTGAACTCCAATATAATAGAGAAGGACCATAAGCACTGTGATTTCAATGTAAACAATTAAAGCTGTGGCTGTGAAATGCAACATGTGCAAAACCGTGTTAAAAGCCCCCCTCTGCTTTTTGTCTGTACGAGCTCAGATATACAGTAGTTGCTGTTGGGGTCGCTTTGTCTTGGATCTGTGTCAGAAGACCACTAAAAGAGTTACTTTTTGTTGCCTTTAGGAGTGCAGCCTTAATGTTTGGTCTCTTTAAAGGTGCTGTAAGTGAAATTGACATTGTGGCTAACTTATTAGCAGCCCCTCCTTCCTGCCTGCCCTTGAGGACTGCCTCATTGTTAAGTTCTCTCTCCTGATTAGATAAAGTGGGAAAGGGATACCAGAAAATATATTTTCAGTTTACTGCAGAAAGGAGGGACTGGGAGACCCATGTTACTAATTCAACAGCAATTCAACAGCTATTTGGCCATCTTTTTTTCTTTCAGTGTGAAAGAAAATCTATATTCTTCTATTCTTTCCATTGCTGTGGACAGCACATAAAAATAAGTTTATACGAAGCCCTTTCAATAACTCCCAATGGTTCTGGTTTGTAAAAAACACCAGAAGCACCTGTCTCGGAAAAAGCCTTTTGTACACTTTAATACATTTATGTGTGTTCTGCAGGGAAAAAATTGAGATGCTATTAGCCTAGCGTAGCATAAAGACTGGAAGCAGGGGAAACAGTTCATCAAGAGTCAAGGTCATTATAGCAATGTAACTCTCCTTAAAATAGACTTTCTTCCATTTATAATTGTATAAATTAAACAAACCAGAAACTGTGCCCCTGCTTCCAATTGTTATGCTAAGCTAGGCAAATCATCTCCTCGCTCTAGCCCCAAACTTAACGCATAGACACGACAGTGATATTGATCTTTTTACCTAGTTCTTGGAAAGAAAGCTAATGAGCAACATGTTCCCAGCTATTTTTTTAAGGTTTGAAAGCAAGTTTTCAGGTGGTTAAACTCCAAATCTCACAACAGTTGTTTTGATAAAAACCTAAGTTCCTGTTTTGGAAAAAGCCTTTTGTACATTCCAATACATTTGTGTATGTTCTGCAGGGAAAAGTGTTCCCTAAACTGAGGAAGAGGAGCAGTGCAGCCAGGCTCATCGACCAGGACAGGAACGGTGAGGAGGAGACAGCTGCTGACTATGTGTTTCGCATCGTCTACCCTGGATACCGCTACGACGCTAGTAAGTAACACTTTTACATTGTAATGCACACTGGTACAAAGTATCCCCAAGGAAGTAGTGGCTGCACAAAACAAAAATATAATCTTCCCTCTATGGTTAACACTAATCTGTGTAATTGCTTTTGCCTTTTGAATAATACTGTATATCTGCTTAAATTTTGTCTTCCCATGATGTGATTACAAAGTACGGGTGTAGTGTGGTGTCTCTCCCACAATGCTCTTCCCGAGGTCTGTAGGGTGGCACTGTTCTAACTGTGTTCTCTGTTGTCCCACTGGTGCAAGCAGTCACCATAAACTACCACCACACCACGGGCAGCCGCGCTCCGTCGCTGGACGATGACGAGGAAGAGGAAGATAGGCTCCATGCTATGATCTCAATGATCTGCTCGCGGAACCTCACAGACCCTAATGTCATGAAAGGTTTTTATCACCTTAACACACCCACCCAACCCCACCGCCCCCACCTCCCACTTCTAAGACCTCACCCCGGCTTCAGACGTTTCTCCCGCCTCCCACCCCGTCATGCCCCCTCAGTCTCTCCTCCCTCCTCCCCCTCCCAACCCCACCCCACCCCCAGCTTCGTCTGCCTGTGTGTGTGCTGCCTCAGGCCGAGCCCAACAGTGTGGAGTAGGCTGGGGTTGGCTGTGTTAGCTAGGACATGGGGAAGTTCAGGTTGCGTTTCATATATTAGCCATGTTGAAAATTAAGAAATTATACAATAGTAATAAAACAACCAACAACCATGAAATACCAACACATTCAATCTGAGGCAATAGTAGATACAAAAGAGCTGAGATGATTGACAGCCTCTAACTTTGTACTAACAAGCAGTGTTGGGCAAGTTACTTTTAAAAAGTAATCAGTTACTAGTTACTTCTTCCAAAAAGTAACTAAATTAGTTACTCACAAATAATAAAAGCAACTAGTTACTTCAGAAAGTAACTATTGCGTTACTTTCGAGTACATTTTTAAATGCTCAAATGTGACCCCACCTCCACCCCTCTTTAACGGAACTCAGAATACTGCCATGTTCAATTATTTATGATAAATCTGAATATTATAATGAAATGGACACTTAATACAATACATTATTAACAGAAACAATGTACACAAGTCTAAACTATTTTAATGTTGCTGTGGGACAAAGTGAGACTTGCCTTCAATCAAATGCCATGTATGTAGATATTATATTTATATAGTGGATCCATACAAATAACACAATAGATGTTTTGGAACTTTTGATATTTATTGCCCCTCAACAGGCCACAACTGGGCAAAATTATTATTATTATGCTTGTTAAGCACTATACCAAAAATAAATAACAAATATATACACTCTTTGTAGTGCAAATAAAACAAAAAAAAACTTCAGACAATTGGTAGATATACTGTACTCCAAGTATTTTCTTCCTCGAAAAAGTAGAACAGTGTAACAATATGAGGTGCTTTCAATCTAACTGAAAAGAACAATGTATAGCAAAACTAAGGAATCCAAATATAAACAGGTAATACATAAGAAATAAAAAATACATCTCCATAAAAATAAATCTCTTTCTCTGGTCATTGACAATCTCACTTCAATAGGCTGCAGCCAGCCAACAAATAAATCTAAATAAAATTATGCTCTTTAAGCAATGTACCAAAAATGTATTCAAACAATATATACACTCTTTTTAGTGCAAATGTAATAAGATGCAACACAACTCGCCATACCTCATCTCTCGTTGACTGACCGACTATGCGTGCTTTCGAACACCCGCCCAACTCTACCTCTGATTGGCTTACCATGAAATTTTACTCAACACAGCCAATCGTCAGCATTTATGTGCTTGTCTCGTGCACTGCCCACTAACCAAGGAAGAACAGTAAAAAAAAAAGTATTTGCCTCTCGGCTCAGAGATCTAGTTGGTCTGATTAAAAAAAAACTGCTTCAATTATAGTAATGCGCTGCATTTTTTGGCAGTAACAGCGTTATTAAGATGTATTTATAACGCCGTTATTCCCATCACTGCTAACAAGTATGATTTAGTTCAAATGTCCTCTCCAGACATATATTGCGACATATATACAAATAGTCTGCTTTAAACAGTAATGTGTGTCTGATGTGTTTTTTCCACAGAAAAAGTGTAATTTCTAAATTAAAATCCATAAGAAATAATCTACTCCTTCTACCTCATTATAAGTTCCACAATCTCTGAATATGCAAATGTTGTTCATTTCTAAAGTTTTGCTGCTGGACACAAGATGTCTCCTCCTTCACTGTAAAGTCCATTCTCAGTGGATGTGCACTGGTGGCTTCAAGTTTCTACATCACACTGTACAAGTTGTATACTGGACCAGGACTGACTTCCTAACTATTTATGATGTCACAAATCATGCTGGTAGGCCCCGCCCCTTACAATCAGATGTTCAATGAGCTCAGAGAAACTTTCCACTTTCAGCAGATGAATGTGAAAACATCCTTCTAGTGTCAAACTCTGTACAGACAGCATTCAGACAGCACACTGTAGGAATGAGAAGAACAACTGATTTCTGACTGGAGGGGGCTGTAAGAAATCTGCTAGATTATTTTCCAGCACAAAGGGAGATGCTTTAGGGCGAAAAAACAGCAAAGGTAGCTCTTCTTTAAATGAAACAGACACATTTCTGTTACACAGAATAAAAAATGGATGGAAATAGTTGTCTCCTGTTTGTTTGACTGCTGTAATGAAAGTGATTGGACAGGAAGCAACAGGGCCTGAATTGGAATTGTGTAATTGCTCCACTAATCAATATTTATTGGATCGAAGGACTGTGTGGAATGAAAGTGACCAACACAGAGAATAACCACAGAATTAGCAATTAGCAGCCGCACATAGCTTTTTAGACTCTTTTAGCTAATTGTTTAGTTTATTAAGATACACTTAATTCTGCTCTCATCAGCTTTGTTTCCAACTACAGCTAGGGTGGCCATTTCCTTCACATCAAAAAGGAGGACACTTTACATACACAGGGACACGCAAGCAGATATTTGTTTGGTATGATCCGGTTTTAAATTTTAATGTTTTTCCACCAGATTACATAAAGGTGCATACACATACCACATAGCTAATAATAAATATACAAGATACAGCTCATGACAACGTGGCCTTCCAATTCAGATTACATAGGTCTAATAAACATCATACAGAAACTGTTCTTAGTGTTTTTATCTGGATAGATAAAGGGGAAAACAAATACAGCACCTTCTGTTTCAGATGTATAGGCTTTGCCTATCTACATATGAGTATGAGCATTTTCAGAATTTCAGTCCAACAACCGACGTTATGTTCTCTGTCTGAGAGTTTGAGCCTGGTGGTAGCAACTGGTGATGGGTGGCGATCAACACATGGCTCATTTGAATATTAAAATTAGCCATGTGTTGATAGGTCACCACACGAAAATGTAACCAATGAAATTACTTATTTTGACACAGCTTTTTGAGAGGAATGGCCACCCTAACTACAGCTGCAGCAGTTTCCATCAAACAAGTTCAGATAAGTTAAATCCACTGTTCACCAAACAGCAGACAGACGAAGTTAGCTGGAGAAGAAAGTCGAGCATGTAGCTGCTAAAGAGCCATACCAATTTAATGTTAATGTGGCTCTGTGTCTGTTGTGTTAGCCAACTGTTTGCTAACGTGTATAATATGCTGTGTGGTGAAAGGTGAAAAGGACATTGTGTTTTCAGCTAGTTCCTGTGCCCCAAGCAGCCAAACAAGTCCATGTTATACTAATGTACAACATTTCATTTGTTAATGCCATAAAGTGCTGCAGGAAAACCTGGAAATGATGGTGCAAACAACCCATTGACTTAATTTCACGTTTTGTTCATAAAATACGTCATACTCCATTTTGAATTTTGAAGCTTGCGCGTGACTTTAAAATGGTCGCCATAAAGTACAGAGGTAGTTGGTGACATTAAACAAAAGAACACCAAACACTGAGACTTACCTGCTCACTAGTCCGCCTTCACAGCCTTGTTGTCTTTATACTCATGCTCTTGCAAACTGTTTTAACTCCAACTTTCCAACTTGTACATTTTAATTAAACAATTTAATTACAAGTTTGAAGTTTAATGGTAGTGACGTTGAAGTCGTGACCGTGATGTAGTTTGTTTATAGCCTAACTTTAGCTTTTTACTTGCGATCATAAAAATCATAAAAAATTGTGTTCATTTGTGAAGATTATTTTGCTGAACAACACATCATAAACCTTTGTTTACCACAGAGCAATCCAAAATCCTTTTTGTCCTTTTTGACAAAGGAACCAGTGCGATTCGAACTTCCAGGTTGGCCTACAAAAGGCCTTATCCCTGCAGCATTCTATTAAACAACATGCAGAATTCCTGCTTGCTATGTTACTTCATAGCCACATACCATTGCATTTGTATTGTTTTGTGTCAGGGGTAAAACAGGCTTTAAAGTACACAACATGTTTCACTCATTGTCCTTCATAGCTGCACACTACAATTATATATATATATATATATATATATATATATATATATATATATATGAAGCTAATGTTACCAAAATGTTAACTAACTAGCTAAATAACAATTGATGTAGATAAGCCAGCTAGTTAGCTAGCATTTTGCTAACATTAGCTAGCTAACTTAAGATGTGACTATAAATATATATGTTGTTTTTATCTTTTAATCACCTTTATATAAATATGGTTGTCTTTTTAACATGGATGAGCCTAGCACAATTTTTGTTTGTTTTTTTGTAAAAAAGGATAAAGTCGACTGAGGATCTGACCAAGGCCTGCTCAACTGTTATTGGAGCACAGAGCAAAAAGGGGTGGGACTTGGGAAGGGTAGGTGAAGCTACAGTTGCCAAGTGTCAGTGGAGGAGGACAGGAAGAAGAGGAGCACAAGCAAAAAGAGAGAAAAAGGGAATGAACAAGTCTTTATTGCACACCATCTTGATTCAACAGTTCCAAATAGCAGCCGGGTGAATCCTTTTAATTTAGGAGTATCTCTAGAGCCAAATACCACACAGTCTCAGCCACTGGCAGCCTCATCCAACCATCCCAGAGCATTTACTCTACAATAAAATGCATTTTCAGCTTTTTTGTTGGCGGAATTCTCTATGTAGGTCCCCTTTTTGCTGCCTCATAAATGGCAGCTGGAAGTTAAGAGTCCCTGCACACTGTAATCTGGCACAATAACATCTTGTCTTTAGAAAATGGTGGCTTTGTCACAGATATTGTCAGACATCCAGTTAATGCCACAGCAGTCGCTGTCTGACTGCCTCCCCCCTACGCCCTTCCTACTTAATTTCACTCTATCTCTCTGTCGCTTCTCTTTCCTCCCACTGCTCAGAGACAGTTTAATCCACTTGCTTGGCAGGGATCCTTACGCAAGCCTGTGAAACGCGCACTGGAAACACACACTTTCAAATGAACACTGTTTTATAGAGAGTGCTGCCAAACGCAGTGACTGGACTGTCAGCTGGTGTCATCACTGGTACGCAGATTCAAACTTCCCCTGGTCTCCTCGTCTAGGTCAAAGCCTTTCAGGCTGCTTTGCATTCTGGGATTTGCAGTGCCTTACAATTACGAAATGGTATAGCTCTTGAAGAATGCCTCAGCACTGTTGGGTTTAAACTGTCGTGGCCAAGAATCGCTTTGATAATTTGCTTAGTTTTATTTTTTGCACTCCTTTAATTTGACTTAATTCTGTTTCCTTCTTTTTGTCCTTTCATTTCTCACTTGCAACATGCTTGACAATTTTTGCATGGGAAATATGCACCCGTTTCGTTGTTTTTTTAAAGAACGACTATGTGTTTCTGCGTATTTGTGATGGACAATCCTTTCTCACAGTCTTCCTCCTCTGTTCCTTTTGATTTGTCTTTCTCTTCTCTGACTTCCTCAGTTGTTTCTCCTCTGTTTGTGCAGTCGTTTGCTGCGATGCTGTTCACTGTAATTCTTCACTAACCCCCCCGCCACCCCGCCCTCCCTCTCCCCCTCGCCCCCTCCTCCACCCCTCTCATTACGGTCCTGTGGGGTTCCGCAGTAGTAGAGATGTGGAGTCCTTGTGTGAGCAGGGTTGCATTACTGATCCCAAAAACAGCTGTTGATCACGTCTAGTCCTAAAGTAAAGAGGGGGGAGGCCCAATGTCGGTCTCGCTCCAGCATTTTTTCTGTTCGTTTCTTTTCCGTTCTTAATATTATTTGTTTTTTGGGGTTATTGAACAACCAAAGCGCAGCTTCATATTTATGACAGGTCATCAGCTCCAACCTGAAGAATTAAGGTGAAGAGCATTTATTTAATGTTGAAGTTTTTATGATTTTTTTCTTCCCTTTTGTGTGCCCTTTTATTAGTGTCCATTTGTTTTTGTTGTTTATGAGATAATTTCTTTTGATGTCTCTTGTCTTGTTCTGGCTTTATGCATCCTGCATGGCCTGAGCGTCAGCCTCGTCCCTGCCTTCTCCTCTTCTATCCACTCCTTTACATCCTCTCTTCTTCCTCTGCTGCTTCTTCCTTCTCTCTGCTGTTTGTCCGGAGCGTCCCTGAGCTCTGCTGTCTCCCCTCTGAATGAGCTGAACCAGCATGGCCCCCCTGCATCCTCTCTGCCTGTCTCTCCCACAGCACCGTTCCTGCTTCCTAAACCGTCCCCCTCCACTTTTGGTTTCCTCTCTGCGCTTGTTTTTCCAGCTCTCACATGTAACATGAGTGTAAAACTTTTCATTAATCTACTCATCTCTTGATACCATAACAAGAACAATACATGGAAAGATGTATTTATGGTTGAGCTGAGGGACCTATGTCATAATATGTAAGGCATAGAGCATAGCATTGAGGCTTTCAACTAACAAAGAGTGTAGTACATGAAAACAACAGCGTCCATTTTGTCTCTGAGACCTCTCTGTCTTCTCACTTCCACTCTTTCTGGTTTAGACCACGGGGAGATGATGGAGATGCAGGGTTTCGGAGGCAGCCCGTCGTCGTGGCAACAGGCCGAAGTAACCACTCACGAGTCGCTGTGCCAGTCCTGCTCCACTGCCGGTAGCAACGTGGCGTTCGACTACCCGGCCGGCTGTACCTGCATACACGACCCATCAGACATCCACACGTACGTCCAGAGAATGAGATTTTATGACTCCAAAGAAGTGATTCTTGTCAGTGAATCAAATCCAACTCAGAACATCTTGGTAGAGTGAAATAACGTAGCTGTGGAGACTGGTGTGGGTGTTCCCACGATGTTGCAGTAATTATTGACTTTGTCCATTAAGATAGTAATTGGGATTTTTAAATGGAGGCAGCATCTAATTCATCTATCCATTAGAAAAAATGCATTAAGGCACTTCAGTTATTGCTTCAGCTGTAGCCATGGCAGTGGTTCTTCATTAAAAGCAAATCTTTTTTCAAAATCCGTTTGTACATACAGACAGTGGGTTGGCGTTGGTGATAATGGCTAACTTTTGTTCTTTCAACCAGTATTCCTCTTAAGATGCTCTGCCAGAACATGAAGAGGCAGATAGTCTCCAGAGCCTTTTATGGATGTGAGTACAGCATGTTACCTCTGCAGTCTTCATACATTAATTTCTAGTTGTTTTCAGAATATTCTAATTGTGACATTATTGGTGGTATACAACACATATTAACTGACTGGTTCCAAACCTTTTTCCTTAAGGAAGCCCTTTTCTCTCATTGAGTAAACTAAGTGACATATCTTATGGATATTGTAATGTGTTTTCCACTGACGGACCCATACAGATTGTCTGGGTCCCACAGTTTACCATTTCTATCCTCTCTGCTGATGGCCTGAAGCCACAGATCTCTTCTTTTACTTTCCTTCGCTCTTTTGGGAAGGAAAGAAAATTGCGAACTCTGGTTTTTAATTGTTTCATGTGCAACATGCGACGCAGCAGCTTTTAGGCATGGTGCCACTAGGAACCTTTACACCGCTTGTTGTTCTGACGAGAAGAGAGTGAGGTATGGCTGGAATCTGTAATGTGGCTTCCAGTTTATTTTATGTTTTATTTTCCAGTTGTGTTTCAAATTGATTAAAAAATGATTTATGGCTTAATGCAACAGCTGCTCGATACAGCAATACGTTTGCAGTTTGTAATGAAATATCCCTCTGAATGTCAAACTTGTTATAAATTGCGGCGTAACATAATGCATTTATAGTGTTATTAAAATATTCTTTTCAAAGGAGAGTTGTTTTTAATTACAGCATCAGTCTGAAGAGCTTATTGTATCAGTAAAAGTTAGTCCATTTATGATCCTCAGCATATAACAATACAAACTGTAGTTATTTAATAAAAGCAGGTTCACACAATATCCCAAATACAATACAGCATTTCAATAAAATAGCATGGTAGGGTTTCAACATTTTAGGCTTGTGGTCAACATAATTAGTGTTTAAAGATCATTTAAATTGTACTTAACTTTGACATGAATCTGTTGAGTTTGAGGACATATATGTGCTTGTTGTTATTTCTGTATGTAACACATACCACAACCACAGACGTTCAGGTGGTGCATGACCTGGTGCAACATCTTCCTTGTCCAACCTGTGTGAAACAGGTTTCTCAACTGAAAATAAATCAACACTGATGTGTGTAGATGGTGCTGAATCCTCAAATCTGAGACAAATCTGTGACAATATAATAAAATGTGTGACTTTACCAATGCTTTGTCTCAGCTGTGTGTCTGTCCCTGTCTCACTCGTCCATCAGGGCTGGCCTACTGTCGACACCTGTCCACTGTGCGGACTCACCTGTCAGCTCTGGTCAACCACAACATCGTCCCTCCAGACAGACCCTGCGAGGCGTCCGGTGGCCTCAGCAAAGAGGTGTGGAGCAAATACCAGAAAGACTGCAAGGTGGGTACAGCGGTGAGGCTGAAAGAGTAATGTATAGGAGCGTGATTGAGCTCTCCTGCAAGCAGGAATTACAGCAACATGGCAAGAGTCTTAATCTTCTTCCTGCATCATCTAACACCCCTCCACCCCTTCACCTACAAGCCAGTGGAGTTAAAAGTCAGAAATCACTGCAGATTGCCAAGTCATCATTGAGTCATTGGTATTGATTGAGCCCCGGAGATAAACCATGGTCATTTTGTGCTGTGCAAGTCTTATTTACAGTAATATTTTATAAAGTAAGAGAAGCTGATGCAACCTTTGAGCAGTGTTCCTTGACAGAATTATGAGGAGACCCCTTGGTCGGGAACCGCAGTCATATGTTAAACAGAATTTTTTCAGAATGCACTATTCTCTATATTATAGGGCTCACAGGTGTGTCTCTATGTTTTGCCATATAGAGATTCATCTTACAAGTGGTTTCTGAATGCCAACACTGTTACAAATGTCACATGTGTGAAAGTGACAGTTTGGTGTACTGTGGCCTACAACAAAAATACAGTAAACTTTTTAGAAATGATACCCTTAAGGGGTAGAGTTGGGGTTAATTGTGCTAACCCTAACCAGCATCTCACACCAACACAACTAGGTGCTGCAGCCAGCCACACTCCATTGACAAAACCAGAACTTTTACCTAGCAAATAATCATAAAACCCACTTCAAAATTGACACAAAAAACCAACAATCACCCACTCTGGTTTAACCCATAATTCACAGAGTTGGATGTGAAAATATTTGTGAAATGGAGTGCTATGGCTGCAACGTAAGTTACAAATGTGCCTGCATAGCACATCCACTAAAAGTGCTTGTTTTTGCAACTGATTATTCTCTGTTTCTGTTCTTGTCAGACACTGTCATTATATTGCTATTGCTTGCCACCAGAATCCATAGATAAATGTTAGCTAATTTTACCTCATATATCAACACAATGTAACGTCGTAACTTCACTGAAAGTGGACACAAGCAAAATAAAACCCATCAAAACAGTCTTTGTTAGTCTTTCCACTGTTCCAACAATCATCAGCTGTAGTCTGGTCGAAATAAATCCCTAATTCACCGACACAGATGAGCAAAACAGCAGTTTCAGTCGCTCTACTCAGCCGACACGGAGACTACCATGCACACATGGACAGACCGGTTTGTAACACAGACAGACTGGGATAACAACACAGGCATGTGACGTCGCTGTTTACTGTTTGCTGCTATAATAATGTTTATATCATTATTATTATTACTGCCTGTCACCGTTGTTTCGACTAGCAACTCTGATCCTCTTTGCTGGCAGTTTATCCTTTTATAAATCTTCTCTCCCTGCCACACTTAAAAAATAAAACTGATGATATTTAACAATTTGTTAACCAATCCCATGTCCAAACCCAATCTAACAATCAGTGTATCTACTAACAAGTATTGTGTCTGTAGTACAGCCTGATATGTCTTCCTCTCTGCGATAGAGATCCATTCTTGTCCAAAAACTATTAAAAACACATCAATGAGCCACACTGTTGCACTAGGTGACATGTTCACACACAATCCCACACACACGAGCTCGCTGCCAGAAATATTCAGTAGAGCATCAAATGTGGATTAATCTGCCACTGAAAATAGTCGCTCTGTTAGAGTACGGTTCATTAAATATTACCCTGTACAGCTGGTTTAGGAATTTAGTTTGTTTTTTTTAGAAAATGAAGCTATCATTGTTTTTATTTATTTACATTTACATTAATTGCAAATCTGTGGGCTTGCTGCTGCAATTTATGCACCCCTGTTTCGACAGAGGTGACAGAAGTATTTAGATAATTTTCTAAAGCAAAAGAAGCAATACTTTAATGTTTACATAGGTGCAAACATATTATCAGGAAAATGTGATACGTGTACTCTGCACCGAGTGTTATGTTATAATATTTATTTTATTATTGGATCCGTGTTGCATCAGTCCTTTGGGTAGATTAATGCAGTATTTCACAAATGGGGATATGTGTACTTTTATGTTTATTTAAAAAACATCAGTCATGGATAATTTTTATAGTATAATAGTATAAGTTTTACAAACCACATTTTCTATTCAGTATTCCTGTTTTTAATACAACATCAACTGCTGTAAACTGTCAGCTACAGTTGTCTCGCTGCCACAGAGTTTGACAAAGATCTTCAATGAAGCACAAGCCCATGTTTCTTACAAAAAAAGTACAACATCAAAAAGACACAGTTCATTGCTACTCTGTCTTAGTGTTACTGCATAAAGACAAAAAAGATTGAATCAAGGGCGGTATACAAATGAAACATCTTGATAAAAACTGGATTAATGCATAGTTATTCTTCATATTTTGATATAAGATTGTCTGAAATCTGGAATGTAACTAATAACTATAGCTGTCTGTGGTGTAAAAAATGCAATATTACCCTTTGAAATGCAATGTTAGACATAAAAGGTTGATGGAAATACTCAAGCAGTCTAACTTTCCTCCACTGTATGGAGCACTGCAAGTCCATACATCCATATGTAATATTCTGTTTTACTTCCCTATTCTTGCTTTAATTGTCGGAGTTCATTAAAAGTCTATTCACAATGCCAACACTTTTATTTAACTTTATAATTGAGCTTCAGTTACCTCTTAGTTAGTTTTTAGTCTTATGTGTTTCTATTATTCCGTCCCCCTCTCGTATACAGCATATCCTGCTTTGCTGTATGTTAATTGTAAGTCAGGGATCACACACTCCTCTTGCAGTCTACACCCCTCTCCACTCTCTCCTTCACTCTAATGAAAATTTAATGAGTTTCAGTGAAATTAAGTCTCATTACAGAGTGCAGTATGATACCATCGCAGCTATTAAAGCAGCCACTGTAATCATTATTAGCTCCAACAAAGTCATCATTACTAATTTACACTCTATTCATATCTTTGTCCTTTATCTTCTGCACTCATCTGTGTCTCCCTGTGTATGGATCACAATCACTCTTTCTCTTCTTCCATTATTGATGCACTTCTTCTTGCTCCTCTCACCACTCACACCAGGCTTCTTCTTCCTGTCATCTTTCTTCTTCTTTTAGTTTCTATTCCTATAAACCTTTCTCTCTCTCTGTGTGTGTGTGTGTGTGTGTGTGTGTGTGTGTGTGTGTGTGTGTGTGTGTGTGTGTGTGTGTGTGTGTGTGTACATGTGTGTGTGTGTGTACAGTGTGTGTGTGTGTAGAACTATAAGGAGCTGGAGCTGCTAAGGTTGGTTTATTATGGCGGAGTGCAGCATGACATCAGGAAGGAGGTCTGGCCTTTCCTGCTGGGGCACTACAAGTTCGGCATGGGCAAAAAGGACATGAGCCAGGTACAGCATAAACACACACACATACATACACACACACACACACACACACACACTGTTTTAATTTGTCGCTTAATTTGAAAAGCAATTGCCTAATTTTTCTCCTGTGAAGATTGACGCGAAGATCAGCGAACGCTACCAGCAGGTGATGCGGGAGTGGAAGGCCTGTGAGGTGATTGTCAAGCAGAGGGAGAAAGAGATGCAGTCGGCCATCTTTGCCAAGCTCTCCTCGGGTAGCAGTATCGACAGCCACGTCCTGCGACTCGTTCACAGAGACTCCACACTCAGCAACGAGGTGAAGAAACCCAACACAATGTGACATCCATCTTTTCAGTTCAGTTTTATTTATATAGCTAGTATTTAGATTGCTATATTTCATTATTACACACTGTGCCTTAGATTTTATTCCTTCAGCAATGGGAACATGGTCAATAACCAGCCGATAAAGTATAACAATACTACATCAGTACAACTTCACAATCTTATACACTTAAAGGTGAAATCAGTTTTATACATTAAAATCTGTTCTACTGAGTTCTACTTAGCCAGTGAAAACCGTTAATGAGGGGGAGCTAATAGAAGGTTAGATGGAGGCAGATGACAGAAACACTGTTCGGCCCTTCCTTAGACCCTCCCCTGTTTTTGCTCTCCTCTCCAATAATAGTTCAGCAGGCTCGGACAGAACCTCGGTCAACTTCTCCTTTCTCCCTTTCCTGTACTCATCTATTTTTAAAAGACCACATTTTGAGAATGGTTAAAAGATAAAAAGCATCATATATATTCATATCTTAAGTTGGCTAATGTTAGCAAAACATTAGCTAACTAACGATTGATATAAAGTAGCTAGCATTTTGCTAACAGTAGCTTTCAGATGTAACCAGCTAGCTAACAACTGATGTAGATTAGCTAGCTACTTAGCTAGTGTTTTGCTCTGTAGCAAAATGCTACTAAACTACAAAACTAATCTACATAATTCCTTAGTTGACTATTAGCTAATGTTTTGCTAATATTAACTAAGATGTGACTATATATATATATATATATATATATATGTGTGTGTGTGTTGCTTTTATGTAGTTGTCTTTTCAACATAGATAACACATAGCATATCTATGTACAGGAAAGGAGAAAGTTAACTTCTTCCGTAAGGTTCTTACGGCAACAGCTTGCTCAGTTGTTATTGGTGCACAGAGCAAAAACGGAAGGGGTCGATCTAGAAATTATACTTCATGATTTCAATGGTAAAATCATAAACCATATGATTTATGATGCCAAACCCTGCATCATTGCCCCTCCTCTATCACTTCTAAAGTTCCATCCATCTTCAGGTGTTTATGTCGGTGGACGAGCCGGATGCAGGGAGCCAGGAAACCCCCAGTGGAGAGGACAGTACCCCCACCATGACCACCCTGGTTCCCCCTGCAGCCCTCCCGCCAGAGGAGCGCCCCCTGGTGGAGTTTGACTCTCCCGACTCGGGCCTGCCCTCCTCCAGAAACTACTCAGTGACCTCTGCTCATTCCCAGATCCTGTCCAGCATAGACGACGGACAGAGTACGGAGGAGGAAGGGGGGGGCGGGGAGGAGGGCAGGACTCCGGGTGTGCTGGGCGGGCGTCAGGACTCTCTGACTGAGGACAGGCTGTGCAGCCAACTGGACAAACTGGTGACCAATGGAGGAGCTGCAGAGGGGATATCACCTTCACTTTCCTCATACACGGTATGTATAGTATGTGAAAGAACACTTTGATTTTCACATTCTGACTCTCCAATGTTGAGAAAAGTGTTTCCTTTGTCCAGATCGAGCTGTTGGACACAGTTGCCCTCAACCTCCACAGGATAGACAAAGATGTGCAGCGCTGTGACCGCAACTATTATTACTTCACCCCAGCCAACCTGGAGAAACTACGAAACATCATGTGCAGGTACTGTATGTGACATACTGGTGGTGAACATAGTGGAGCATTTAGCAGCAACGGTGCGAGAGATATTTGTCTCAGCTGTTGGTGTACAGCAAAATCGAGCTAAAAGAGAGTACATTACCTACATAGACATACAAGACCATCAGGGAGTATATTGGCTGTTTCTGTATAGTTATTCTTAATGCCTGTCACCAGGTCGTATTTACCCTTGAAATCAATTAAACAAGGCAGTAGAGACACTGCCGCTTTTGTCAACAGGGGCCACGGGAATCAATACAAAATGATAGTTGCTTGTAGGGGCTTTATGTAAACATACAGTCTACTACAAGCAAAAAGTGGTCCTTTTATTATCGTATCTTATTGATGCATGCAGTGTTTTAAATTTGAAAAAGTAAAGATATTGTGTGCTATTCCACCACTGGAAGCCTCCCACCCACAGTCTAACATGTACATTAAATCTGTAGAGTTGAATGGGATTTGTTTATCTTGTTTGTCTCCTTCTTGCCTGCAGCTACGTGTGGGAGCATTTAGAGATGGGCTATGTTCAGGGCATGTGTGACCTCCTCGCTCCGCTCATGGTCATCCTGGATGATGGTGAGAAGAAAGAATCATTATACAACTATATATAATTATTGTAGATAGCACAGATGAAACATAAACCCAGTAGCTATTACAGAACTGAGACTAATACACCTCTTTTAAAATGAATAATAAATAAACTTCCCTTATGCATTAAAAATGTAATAGCAGCAATGTGCGGTTCTATGGACAAACGTGAAGTTTAGTTATACAGTAATCAAACACAAGGAGGACTGTTTGAGCTACATACACAGCAGTTACAGTGGGCTGGTGAGGTAGATTTCCTTCATAATTCATATTACTGTGACATTAAACTGTTTATAAGGTTGTGTCAGCCAACCCTGCATGTACAGCAAATAGACACTCACTTTACAAGTTCATCCATGTTTGAAATTAAACTGGGTTGTTATTTGTTGCTGAAAAAAATATTCAGTTTGTTAATGTGATGGGTGTTTGTGCGAGGGACAGTTTTAGTGCTGTGCTCACTACATGACCCTGTTCTTCCTCCTGTGTGTGTGTGTGTGTGTGTGTGTCAGAGTGCCTGGCATACAGCTGTTTCACTCAGCTAATGAAGAGGATGAGTCAAAACTTCCCTAATGGCGGAGCCATGGACACACACTTTGCCAACATGAGGTCACTGATCCAGGTGATGGATAACTCTTACTGTGAGTGTGTGTGTGTAAATGGTAAATGGACCTGTACTTGTATAGCGCATTTCTAGTCTTCCAACCACTCAAAGCGCTTTTACACTACATGCCACATTCACCCTTTCACACACATTCACTCGGTGATGGCAAAGTCTATCAAACAGAAACTAACTCACTCATACAAATTCACACACCGATGACACAGCATCGGGAGCAATTCAGGGTTCAGTATTGCTCAAGGGTACTTTGACATGTGGCAAGAGGAGCCGGGGATCAAACCAACAACCTCCCAATTAGTGGACGACCCTCCTGCCTCTGAGCCACAGCCATGTGTGTGTCTGTGTGTGTCTGTGTGAGTGTCAGTAAGAGAGATAGAGACTGTCACTTCTAAAAAAAACACACTGATGTTCTCTCTTCTCTCACTTTGATGTCAGATCCTGGACTCAGAGCTGTTTGAACTGATGCAGCAGAATGGGGATTACACTCACTTTTACTTCTGTTACCGCTGGTTCCTGCTGGACTTCAAGAGAGGTGAACACACATTCTCACTAACCTCACTGATTTGTCTGCTTCAAAGCTGCATCAAGTAATTTTGATTACTGGGGGGCCTGAAAGACTTCAGATCACACTCACACAGTTAGCAGTGCTTCCCATCAGCAGTCTTTGCTGATGGGAAGCTGGCAGCTGTTTGTGGTAAGCTGAGGCATCAGCACGGTGGGGGGCAAAACTGGCGGGGGTGATGTAAACCTCTGGCGTGCTACACAGTTCTTGTGAAGCTCATTACATTTTAGGAAGTGATAGCAACATGGTGTCCTAACAGTACATGCTGTATAAGTGCTCACAGATTCAACACCATTGTGACAGGTCTCTTAAAGCTGCAGTGGGTAATTTTTATAAAAATACCATTTTGTTGGAGACTGACTAAAAAAATGCGTATTGTCTATGTGTGTGTGTGTGTGTGTGTGTGTGTGCGTGCAGAGCTCCTGTACGAGGACGTGTTTGCGGTTTGGGAGGTGATCTGGGTGGCTCCCAGGATCTCCTCAAAGCACTTTGGCCTCTTTCTGGCCTTGGCCCTGGTAACAGTTTACCGTGAGATCATCATCGACAACAACATGGACTTCACTGACATTATCAAGTTCTTCAATGGTAAGAGACATCCACATTTTATGGATTTCTTATTTCTCGCTATCTTGTTACGGTTGCCATCAGTGGACAGCAGACATTTTGAGATGTAACCATTGTGTAATGACGTGTGTTATGATTTAACAAAACTGTGTTTGTTTAGTGTAGCAAAATTCAAGTGTATTTTCAAGAAGGAGATGGTTGAAAGAGTTAGCTGAAAGTAATGGATTGTAGTTGTAACAATACAAACCTGACCAAAGCTACTCAAAAAAGAGACCAATCCTGATAGGAACATGAGGGTTGGTGTGACGGGGTACTTGAGCTCAGTTCTGAGTGTACGTCATACTAAAAACATTAGAAACCATTTGCTTACAAGCTTACAAGTTTTGTTTTTTTAGCTGTATTTAACCAAATAAAAAAAAACCAAAAAATAAATAAAAGGGGACCCAGAATAGATCCCTGTGGGACCCCACAAAAGAGAAGAGCATACTCCACAACCAAGTCTATGCTACATATCGTCATTATTAATGAGGAAGTAGCTGTTCATGCAGGTCATGTGTAATACGTAATGTAATGTTTCTGTAGCTGTGTCTCTAACTGTGTGTCTGATCCACAGAGATGGCTGAGCGCCATGATGTCCAGCATATCCTGAAGATAGCGCGTGAGCTGGTGCACAAAGTCCAGTCTCTTATGGACAACAAGTGACTATAGAGGAAGAGGAGGAGGAGTGTCTGACCCTACAGGACACTCAACTCTTCCTCTCATCCCTCAGAGAGACAGAGTATTTCCAGGCCTCCACCTATCCCGAGCAGGTCCAGGGAGTCCAGGTCTCCTCCCTGCCCAGATGAAGGCCCTGGGAGTAGGGGCAGGAGTGCTGCTGAGGCGGCCTGGCTCTGGAGCTCGGCCTCAACCTGTTTACATTTACCTTCACATGGAATGCCCATGGTGTCTGTTCAGACATGTGGATTTGTCTGCATGCTTGTGAGTTTGATCACACTGTGAACGCATTCTTGAGTCTCCCCACTCCTACAAAGCTTGTGTGCGTGCATGACAACACTCACACACACACATACACACACACATTCCGAAACAACATTGGCTCTGTCAATACTCCAGTGTGTCACCCTTTTCCTGACTGAACCAGAACATGTTGGGTGCCTGTCAGGAAGGTTGATCAGATGTGTTCCTCCATGCAATGCCGGCGGAGAACACTAGAGTGCAGGATTTACATACAACATTGTCAGAGGAGCAGAAGACTTAGCCACGAAGAAGTTTTCATTAGTGACCAAATGGACTGTGCCAACTACCTTTTCATGAGTGTTTTCTACAACAAGCATGTGTGTTTTTACCCCTCCCTTTTTTCTTTTTGTCCAAGTGTTCATTATCACACAAATGTTGCCTTTATCAGTAACAGCCCAAGGTACTTAGTTGCACTTTTTTGTGAGGGTTTCCTTCATGGTGCCTGTGAAGGCCTCACCAGAGTCGGTGGGGGCCGGAGGCACCACAAGAGGCCAAACTGTTGAATTGCAGCCAACTTTCCTGAGCATTCAAGTCAGTGTTTAAAGCATGTTTAATCCTTGTTCCAAGACAGAGGAAACACAGCAGCAGAGCACAACAGTTAAGACAAAAGCACACAGGCCTTCCTCCATACTTTAATATAAAACGTGGGCGTCGCTGTTTTGTAGTACTGAGTTTAGTTCAGGGCCGTATCTCCACTGAGGTCATGTCTGTGGTAATATTTCAGGGAACTGGGGCGCTTAATAACCAAAGGAGGAATTGATATTCAATGATTACACACAAATTACACATGTTGTGGTTTTTAATCTGATTCTGATATTATTTATAATAAATTGTGATTTTAAAGCCAAAAATAAAGGGGATTTAGTATTATCCAACACATTTTAATGGAAGCCCATTTCTTCCAACGCGACAGGGAAAAAGGATTCTCTAAATCATTATAACGACAAACTTTGTCAATATTATGAAAAAGTTTATTATATATAGGTATATATTTAGAATGACTTACATAATCTTTTTTTCCTGTCACATTGGCAGAAATGGGCTTCTGTACATTTTAGACCATTATATTGGGAGATAAAAATCCACAATTTCAATAGTCAGAAATATGTTAGATGGGTTGAGTTGCCCTGGATGGGAATTTGGACTCATGACCTCAGTATTTCTAAACCCTGGCTACGGCCCTGCTTGAGTTACTTTCTGCAGGGTTGGCTGAAGTTTCAAAGGACATTAAGCTGAGAAACACACACAGTGATAGAAGAAGACTTGAAAAGATGAATAAATGGAGTATTATAGATTCGTGGCTGGTTAGAAGAAGTAGACATGACGGGCTGAGAGAAAGGGGGCAGAAGAAAATGAAACATGATCAAGAAATCAAGAGAATGAAAATAAAGTAACAGATTGATTATATATACCAGTATTCCTTTTAAGAATAAAGCTGGAAATATTGTATATTTTTGTTATTGTCAACAATTTCCATGAAAAGACCAAAACCACTTCCCTAACCTGTCTTTGGCACTCAACCTCACTCACTGATTCTTACTGAAGACGTAAATCTATAAAAATGAGTTTCATTTTTACAAAAAGGCTCAGTAATTCACTGGAACAGATGGGTGCTGTTGTTTTTAACAAACTTAATGCAAACAAGAGTAAATGGTGCATTAGTTGGGGACTATTTTCAGAGATGGATTAATGCACATTTGGTGCTTTATTTACAGGAGGAGTTAACAAGTTGAAGCTTTTCACTGCTTTAAATTATGTTTGATTTTAAAAACAGACAAACCAAACACAGGCTCTAGATAGGGACTTTTGTGTTTTTTGTAGCCACCATAGTTTGTCATTTGCACTTGGAAAAGGGAGGGTGAAACGAGGGAGTGGCAATCTGCAACTGCTCCGCTTGATGCCACTAAATCTACACACTGGACCTTTAATATTTAGTCTTAAACAATGTCAGAAAACACCTCACAGTATCCCGAAGCTCCAGCTCTTGCAAAGTCTTGTTTTGTCTGAGCAACAGTACGTTGTTTCAGTACGTGCAAGAGTGTTTTTATCAGCTTTTAGATGACAGTGGAGCTCTATGGCACACAGGCATAACATAAAACAGGATTTGGATGCCAACACAATACTTGTTAGTAGATACATTGATTGCTGGTTAGGGTCTGAGCACGGGATTGGTTGACAATAAGAGTATTAAAGAATATTTCCAGCTTCATCCTTTAAATGAATCCATGTTTTCCTTTGGAACTGGAGTCAAACACGCTCACTGACTGTTGCATTCAGCAGCACTGTCAGGAAAAGTGGTTGCATATGTCCACGTTGAACCCGATTCTCCTCCTGCCTGAAGTCCAACCTCTAGAAATAAAACTTGCTCGGACTGGGTTGGTCTGAATAACACATGTGGTCCCAGGGTTTTAAAAAAGAAATACCTGAGAAGAAGCTGCTTTTAATGCCAAACTTTCTCTAGTGTTCAGTGAGTCAGTATTAGGTTGGTTGAGGCTTCACAGTAACAGCACAGAATACATTCATGTTTGTATCTGAAGAGAATCGGGGACATTTTTTGATACTGTTTCCAATCCCCCTCATCAGTGTGACCTTTTATCTCCATCCTCCTTATAATGTCCAACGCGGCTGCATATGATTGGTCATCCAGCTCGGACCTGCACCTGTGATTCAAGTGCCAAGAGTCTTCCCCAATCCTGAAGTGTACTGTAGTCATCCGGCTCTCTGATTTCACTAGTTTGATGCCAGGAACGGGCAGTGGTGTGGATGTACCTCGCTACGGCCTCTCCCCCTCCCCCAGGGAGGGTTGCCAGGGGAATCCAGGGCCCATAGCAGAGCTTTTTCTTCCAATCAGGACGTTGTGTACCAAAGCCTTGAAACAGCCCCCTCTGTGGCATGACGACAATGTGCAATGTCATACTGCATCTTGAAGACTGACTGTTTATTATGTGTGTAAAATATTTTTGAAAATGGTGATCTTGGATTCTTTAACTACTGTGCAATTTCTGTCGTTTGAGAAAATCCATCAAAGTCTATATTGCTGTAAATACGAACTGAAAGCCCAATATTTCTATGAAGACAGTCAGAACATATATATAACTTATTTTGAGATCTATTTTTTATGTTGGTTTTAGCAGCACTAGTCGAAGGTGTATACTGTGCAGAAATGCAGAATGTGTGCAGACTATGTTACACGTTGACTGTTAAGTGTTCTTTCTCAATGTTGTGCACTGACTTCAAGATTTCAAATTTCTATTTATTTAGAGAGCCAATGATTGCATTGCTGAATATGTATTGGTAAGGATGTATCATTTGCCTTGAATGTAATGTATTATTAAATAAGAGGTTGTTCATTAGTGGCCTAATCTCTTATTTTATCTGTTAATGCTACAGAGAAGATGTTCTTGACTTATAAGTTCTGTGGGTTCCTTCTCTGTTTATAATTGTTCCTCTAAAAAGTTTTTGCTCAAACATTTGTACACTGCGTACCGCCCTCAGAAAATATTAGGCCTCCAGGTACCACCATTATGACCGACGTTAAAATACAGCAGAGTAGGCTGACCCTGTTCAGCTACAGACAGTTCACACAGGAGGCAGCTCTATTCCTAATAAGATTATTTATTGCTGACTGTTGACTCTTGACAAAACCGGTTCAGGAGCCAGAGCTAGGCTGGGGGCAAAGGGGGTCCTCCTGGTCCACAATTCTCTTCCAAATAGTTCCCATTTGGAGTCAGTGTTTTTGAACCATTCATTTTACCTCTGCTGAACACGAGCCTCCACTCTCTGATAAACAGCCTCTTCCTGCATTAGAAATCAACAACCAGAGCTAATAGATGTAAAGAACACACTGAATTTGTCTAAAAGAGAAACCTATTAAGTATGTAGTGTTAAAAATAAAAAAAAATACAGACAGAATTGTAGTTCAAATGTTCAATATTCACAGGAAATAATCTGCTAAACTTCCTATTATTACTGCTTTGCTCAGACTGAAATCTCTCATGGACGTTTGAATTCAACTCTGCTGTCCCGTGGGAAGCCTCTGCACTTTGCGGTTCGGAAGTAATCATTAATAAAAGGTCTATCTCAAAAGAACCTACCATGCAACCACTGGATGAGGCTGAATTCTCCAAGGAGAACCCCCCCAGCGACACTAAAGAAGAAGAAGTAGGAGGACTCTAACCAAATCCAGGTTACATACGCAGTCAACACCAGCGTTTAGTGAAACTGTTCAGTGCCTACCTCCAGAACACATCTTTCCACATCCAATAGAGGCACATGACATAGGCAAAAATATGAATGCCTTTTGGGTTTCCCCCACAAGTCCAAAACTGTGAACTGATGACTGACTTAAAAAAAAATCTGAAAATAAACCTCCTGCATATATATTTGTATTTTGAACCTTTTGTCAAATGTAAGACCTTGTCTCTTTTAGAAAGGGGATACAGTTTGTGAAATATATCTTGATGGTAGTGCATAGACTGAGCATTATGGAGGGGGATACATATTTTGGCAGGCTGCATGTCCGTCCCAATGGAACAAAGATGTGATTGCCTTGGTTTTATCAGTACATTGGTATTTAAATGCATTAACTAACACGTACAGAAGAATAAAAGAGTTTGTTTAGATACATGAGCCATGTGGTACTTCCCAAAACCCTATAGTTAGAACAATAACATTAAAACGATGAATTCAACAATACACATATTGATATCATCAAAGCATTTTAATGCAGGTTCACCTTCACTCACAGGGACACACCTCTTACTGGGGGCAACTACCCTGGCACAACACCTTTTTTTCAGGCAGTGCAAAAGTGCATTTTATGAGTTGTATCACCCCTTTTTAAAAGTATTTCAACTGATACAAAAGACTGGATGAGCTTTAATCCCTAAAATATAACTCACCAGTGAAATGAAGTCATTTTGGCAAAGAAAACTTTTAGTGACAAGGTAGGAGCTGTAATAACTTTTTGGCTAATGCAAAACTGCATTTCATTGGTTGTATTGCCACTTTTAAAGGTATTTAAACAGGTAAAAGTTAGTGGGTGAGCTGCAATCTCTAAAAAATTATCTTCAGAAATTGTATTCTCTAGTTTACGCTTTATGTTGGAAGTTTTGGCTATTCGAAGGTAAATTTTTTGACATGAGCTGATTAGTAACTGAATTTAGTAACCAGTACCAAGTTCAAATTCTTACACTTATAACAAACCAATTTTCATGAAAATTAGTTCAGAATTAAAGAGTAACAGAGGATTTTGTAGTTATCTGTGCGTCTCTCAGTAGTTAACTAGCGGATTGATGTGATTAATTAATTAACACAGAGTAAATTCTCAAATAGTACAAACATATGATCACCATATGCATTAGTACGCATTGCTGTAGATTAAACTACCCAACAGAATATAAAGTAGTTAAAATGAGCTCAACCGTAAACATCTACTGTTGTTGTAAACAATAGTGATGTCAGTTAGATTTATTTCTGACGTTTCAAATGTTCATTTATATTTTTCTGGTAAAAAAAACAAAAAACAACTTATCAATTCATATGAATAAGAATTCAGAATAAATTAATATCAACCAATATTTTACCAGCTGTAATTCAAGCATCCTGATGTTTTATCTGTCCCAATAATTATCATGTGTCCCTAATTATTATCTTATTTTGGAGATAATTTTGTGTTAATATGGTACAAACAATCTGAACTGCAGGTCACGTGTTCAGTACACTAGGGCTGCCCCCAACTATATATATATATATATATATATAAACATGGAAATAGCAGTATTGATTCTGAATGTGTCACAACAATTATTTTTGTATTTTTGACAAAGAATTTTTGGGAGTTTCATTTTGGTCTGAGATGCTGGTGCTCTAGTGTGACACAATATATATAATAATAATGTATATATAAGTGTTTATGGACATTTTTTAGAACACATATTTTGAGCCTTTTCTCCCTTTATTTGACAGGATCCGCAAAGGGCCACAGGTCAGACTCAAACCCGTGGCCTACCAGAACATCCTGCTATTGAAACATTTTAAAGTTCATTTTAATGTTGAGTTAGTACAACCAGATATAGAGAAGGGAAACTGAGTTGAGTGGTGACATCAATTCTTCTTAAAAGAGAAAAGAAGCAGACTGACAACAGGTTTTAAAAAAGCATTGTTTATCACGGTTGATACTTCAAACTGATCAGTACCCATGACATTGCACAATACAAAGGCATGAAAAAAATGTAACATTAAAATAGGTATTGCATCTTCCAAAAGCTAATTTTCCATTCATAAATACTTGTTGCGATTTCAGTTCACTGCAGTTTCTTACAACAGAATCACAGAGATTTTTACTAAATAGCCAGAAATCATTTTCTAAAAATTGATGAGCGTGATGTGACACGAAAAATAACAATCAGCAGACATTCTGTGGGTGTGAGAAGTTATTAGTATCTTTTTTTTTTTGTACAGTACAACATCGAAGGCCAAGAGTTCTCCGCAGACGAGGAGTGGCTGCCTCTGGTGAGGAGACTGTCCTGCTGTGGTCATGTGACCTTTGAAAGGTGCCAAGGCCCAACACAGATAGTGAGATGGGTGAGACGATGTCCATGATTTTCTGTTCCCCTGCTCCGGGTCCTGTTCCAATCAGAGCAGAGCTGATTAGTGTTCCCGCTTTGACTCTGACAAAACCTTTCACTCATCTTTTCATTTGATGACTCAGAGATATCTCTCTATGAGCTGAAAACATTATTTGTTGGATTTGTTAATGCCCACTGTGACAGTTGAAGGACTAGTTTGACACTTTGGGAAATTCACTTTCTTGCTGAGAGTTAGAGTGATAGTCCTTGGATCTTCTCATCTAACTTGCAATAAGAAGGAATAAGGGTATTTCCCAAAATGGTGAACTATTCCTTTAACAATCTCTGGCCTCAGCTGAAATGTGAGGATTTGCTTTTTCTTTTTTTTTAATAAAAGCTAACTGAATCTTTAAAGTTTCGACTGTTGTGATGAAGCTTCAAATTGTAACTAATTGAACACCACTCGCGTCTGTATGTGATAACCTAGGAATGAGAATGGGCTGTGAACTATTTAGTAGAAACTACAGCAGTCACAAAAACTGTGAACGTGGTTATATGACGAACCAAGTGCTTCCAGTGTGTAACATTTAGGAGCTATTGGCAGAAATGGAGTATTATGTTAATTATTATATTGTTCTAATATTCAGGTATGTTTGCATTACCTTAGAATAAACCTTTTAGAATTACACACGCTGTGGGTCACTTTCCTGCCTGCCATGTTTCTCCTAATTGTTGAACACTGGACCTTTTAAGTCATTTTTCCATATTCTATTCAAATGACAAATGTACCAGTGTGTAGTACATCACTTCATTATGCCAGGATGGATTTGCCATCACTGAGTGAATGGTGAAGGTGTGTGAACGTAGTGTAAAAGCGCTTTGAGTGGTCGGAAGACCAGAAAGGCGCTATACAAGTACAGGTCCATTTACCATTTACAGGTAGAATATGACCAACAAACATGTACATGAGCCACTAAACTGGCTGGGTTTCTCGTGCCATATGTCATCCTCCTCATCAGAACCTGACTGATGAGTTGATCACAGAAAAGCCACAGACACAGTGTGTCTGAGCTCGTGTAAACAGTGTCTCTGTTACATGGTTTGTCCACTAGAGGGACGAGTTGATTTTCACACTGTAAAATGTTCTCAGTACACATATTGATCACAACTCTTCAAGAACTAAATTGAAGGCTTTATAAAATTGTTGTTTGGTGTATGTTTAACAGTCATTATTAATATCTGCAGTGGTCAGGTTTTTTTCTAGGGTAGAGGTATTCAGAGCCTTGTTGATAATAAATGGTGCATTGTTTTTTTGTGGATGCTGCACCAGTGACAGTATAATTACTTTGAAACTCATTAAAAAAGAACTACAGAACTACTTTTGAACATGTATATGCTCCTTTGATGCTTATTCCACTACATTTGTCTGACAGCTACAGTTACTTTCACACAAAACATTTGATCATTTTATGTTTAAAATGTTAAAATAGATTTAAGAGGACCTACTGGCAGAAATGGAATATAAGATGTCTCTACAGTAGCCCTGAATGGACAAACCAAATACTGAATGTGGATAGGGGCCTTTCACAAGTTTCACAGCCACCATAGTTTCTCGTACACACTGGTCCTTTATTTTTCCTGATGTCTTAACTTAGACATACAGAACACTGACAGCATCTGAAACTACCCGTATATTGATACAATGTATATATTGAGTACCTTCACTTTTAATAGTGAGAGTATATTCTGTGGATAATACCTTGAATACTACTATCACTGTATGG